ATCTATCCAGTGATGTCAGCGGGGTGTTGAAGTCCCCTACTATGATTGTATTGCTATTGATTTCTCCTTTGAAGTCTTCCAGAAGATTTTTAATATATGTTGGTGCTCCTATATTGGGTGCCTTCATTTTGAAATCCATTTTATCAGATATGAGTATTGCTACCCCAGCTTTTTTTTTCTTTGTTTGCTTGGAAGATTTTTTTCCATCCCTTCACTTTCAACCTGTGTGAGTCTTTTGTTGTGAGGTGGGTCTCTTGTAAACAACATATATGTGAGTCATGCTTTCGTATCCAATCAGCTACTCTGTGTCTTTTTATGGGAGCATTCAAACCATTCACATTTAAGGTGACTATTGATATGTACTTATTTATTGCCATTTTTGTTTAGTGTGGTTATATTTTTCTTCCTATTTCTCCTGCTAATTACAGCAGTGCTTTTAACATTTCTTGCAGTGCTGGTTTGGTGCTAATGTATTCCCTTAGCCTTTTTTTGTCTGGGAAGCTCTTTATTTGACCTTCTATTTTGAATGATAGCCTTGCTGGGTAGAGTAGTCTTGGATTCAGATCCTTGTTTTTCATGACCTTGATTACCTCATGCCATTCCCTTCTGGCCTGTAGTGTTTCTGTTGAGAAGTCAGCTGAGAGCCTTATGGGGTTTGCTTTGTAGGTAACCTGTTGCTTCTCTCTTGCTGCTCTTAGGATTCTCTCTTTGTCTTGAATTTTTGGCACTTTGATTACTATGTGTCTTAGTGTGGGCCTGTTTGGGTTCTTCTTAGTTGGGGCTCTCTGTGCTTCTTGAACTTGAATGCCTTCTTCCTTCACCCAATTAAGGAAGTTTTCTGTCACTATTTCTTCAGATATATTCTCTAACCCTTGCTCATTTTCTTCTTCTTCGGGGTCTCCTATGATGCGAATGTTATTACGTTTCTAGTTGTCCCACAGTTCTCTTAAGCTGTTTTCCTGTTTTTTAATTGTTTTTCCTTTTGGTTTTCTGATTGGTTGATTTTTTTCTACCCTGTCTTCTAATTCACTGATCCGGTCCTCAGCTTCTTCTACTCTGCTATTTAGACTTTTCAATGTGTTTTTTTTATTTCTGATGTGTCATTCTTCGTTTCTTCTTGGTGGTTTTTAATTTCCAACTGGTTGATTTTCAACATTTCTTTTTTTTTTTTTTTTTTTTTTATCCTCATCCGAGGACATTTTTCCATTTTTTGTACAGACAGAGTGGGAGGGAGAGAGAGGAAGAGAGAGGTGGGGGGAAAACATTGATGTGAAAGGGACACATCGAGTGGCTGCCACCCGCACGACCAACCAGGGCCGGGGACAAACTGCAACCGAGGTACGTGCCCTTAGTGTGAACCGAACCCGGGTCTCTCCGGACCGCAGGTGGACGCTCTAACCGCTGAGCCAAACCGGCCAGGGCAATTTTCAACATTTGTATGTCTTTACTCATGGTGCTCGTGTCCTTACACATGCTGTTGAGCTTCCTCGAGATCATGGCTCTGAATTCTAGTTCTGTTATCTTGCTTAAGTGCACCTCATTTATCTCATCATCAGTAGAGGTCTCTTGTTCTTTCCTTTGGCTTTTGTTTCTATGTTTCACCATTTTGGCTATCAGAGTGGGCTTTGGAGTCTGCCAAATTTTCCCTGTGGGTGTTGGTGTTCGGCTGTTTGTGGCTCCCTCTCCTGGGTTTGGATGAGGCAGGGAGGACCCACGTTACACACCACTATCAAGTCTTACTTTCCTGGTTAGAGTTGCTAGCCCAGGGAATGGTAGTTATCCTCTAGCTTTTTCACCTAGAGGTTATTAGTAGTGGTCATCTGAAGAACCTTGGTTTCTGAATTGAATGAAAAACTCGCTCTGGTGCTCAGTGTAAGAGGATTTCTGGAGGGTGAGGCAGATGCTGGTTGTTAATGGGCCTCAATTAGCATTTCAATGGCCACTGGGTGGGGTTGAATCTCTGAGGGAGGGGCCACTGCCTCTCCCCAGTGCCCTGGGAAGGAGTAAGATGACCACAGTCCTGAGTGGCTGCAACTCAGCAAAAGCTCTGAGCGCCCTCCCAATCCCGAGTGTCCCCACACATTTCCAGTCCAGTCTGCCCTCCCTCTGCTGGAGCCCAAGGTGAGTGTCTGCTGCCAATTTTGCCTCTGTCCAGGCTCTGCGCCGTTGAGCCGCCTGGGACTTTAACTGAGGGCACCGCTCCCAGCTAACGGCGGCCGATGCTGCGGCAGCTCCCAGGTAAGGGATGGCCAAGGCTGCGGCAGCTCCCAGCCGAGGTCGCTAGTCCCAGCCGAGGCCGCAGGTCCCATCTGAGGGTGCAGCTTCCAGCCGAGGTTGCTGGTCCCAGGCGAGGCCGCTGCGGGTCCCAGCCCAGGCCGCTGCGGACCGTGGGCTCCCGGCCCCCTCTCGCGTCCTCGCAAACCGACCAGGATTGAGTCAGTGTCCCTGGTTATGTGGTCCTCCAAGCTGCCGTTTGGTTGCCCCTTCCTGATGATTTGTCTTTATTTTCGTTGTAATTCCAGTTTGGTCCTGGGAGATGGTCTGTGTAGCTCCATTCACTCCGCCGCCATTCTTTTTTTCCTCGTGTTTTTCACTTTAAAATTAGACACTGGTTGTGTTTTCTATTACTGAAATATCACCGAGAGATAGTTACTATCAATTTAGTCTCCAGGTCTGTTTTTTACAGATTATATTATCTGCATGAAAAAGAATAGCCCATTCAGTCTTCTAGAAAGAAATGCTTATTTTTTTCAGAGCAGAATTTATCCTAAAATAAACTGTACATATCATTTGATACACATGAATATCTGGATGGTAACCAGTCATCAAATAACTATTTCCCTTAAATGGACATGCAGCTGTACCTTTCCTAGGTTTGTTGTGAAGTTATGTCCCTGTTCAATTACTGTGAGAAGATAATCTGAGCAGGAATTCTGTTCCAATGGCCCAGGGGTTACGGTATCTCAGTGTTGCTCTCGATTTCCAAATGAACCCGCTGATTAAGACACTATCTTTAAAGTATACGTTTTTTTTTCTCCTCTTCATTAAAATCTACGAGTGAAGAAATGAGAAGTATGGATGTGACTGTGCTGGACAGACAGACAAACCAGTTAGACAAACGCCGCAGTCGCATTCGGATTACTTCCGACGGAACCTTTAGCTGTCTTTGCCTTATTGGTCAGAAACTCTAGTATTTCTGGGCATTTCTGTCATGAAAGCAGGTTTTTATGCACAGTCATCAGACCTCTCGCTGCTGCTGATGAAGTCCCATTACTTCATTCATCAAGTGATCTGTCGCCAAGGCTCGGAAAGTGTGATGAAAGAAAAGGCATCGACTTGAGCAGTGCAGCTCAGTGGTTGACCATGGTCTGGCACTGGACGCGGGAGGGGACGTGCAAAGTGTCCCGTGGAGGATTTAAGAAGCCAGTCAGTTGCTTATGTTGAATTCCCAGAAGTGCTCATTTTCTACTTAAATTAGAAACATTTGTTCCTTGAGAAAGAAAAGAAATTCCTAGGTGGCCTGTGTTTATCTAGGAAGGATATGGTGATGAATTTTTGGTCAGGGTCTGATTTTATTCAACTTGTGTTAAAAGACTAGAGATACATATAAAATAAAGCTTGCTTTGTTTTCCTTCATTATAAAAACAACATCCTGAGAGCCGTTCTCAAAGAATCTTCTCTACAATGCAGTGGTGATAGAGTAAGGTTTTATGTCATTCAAATTGTCACCGTTTCTGCATTTTTGCCCTGCCTCTTGCTGAAACCTGGGTAAATGGAAGCCAGGGGTTTGTGGTTATAACCCAGTAACCTAAAGAAGTGGGCCACCTGGGCACGGGGTCAGTCCTTGAGTGCGTTAATCTATCTTCTACTTGTCAAAGGAGCCATGAGAAGCCCATATCAAGGTCTGATCCAAAAGGTCAATTAAAATCCTTAGCAGGCCCAGCTGGTGTGGCTCAGTGGTTGAGCATCAACCCATGCATCAAGAGGTCGCTGGTTTGATTCCTGGTCAGGGCACAAGCCCAGGTTGTGGGCTGGATCCCCAGTAGGGGGCATGCAGGAGGCAGCCAGTCGATGTTCTCGCTCATCGATGTTTCTGTCTCTTTCTCCCTCTCCCTCTCCCTCTCCCTCTCCCTCTCCTTTCCTCTCTCTCTAAAATCAATAAAGATAAAATATTTTAAAAAATTAAATTAAATCCCTAGCAGTACTCAAGGATAGAGAGGAGGGACAGAAACCATTGCATTCTAGAAGGTTCTCATTGCAATCTAAGAGAATGTGGCTGCCTCAGTATGGGCCTGTTCTCTTGGCGTGATGAGGACAGACACATACCCATTTACAGAAATGTGGCCGAATAATTGCTGACTCATTTCAGTCCGCCTCTCATCATAACCAACTATTCTCAGTCCCATTACAGAAACGGAAGCTCAGTTTAGCAAATTGTTTGGCCGTTCATGTTTAGTGCACAAAATTCTTAATTCACAAAATAGAATACCGCAGTCCATTGTACATCACTTTACTAAACGTTTCAACTTCCTAAGGAAGTCTGTCTTGTTCAAGAGCTGCTCACAAACCCATGCTCACCCAGCACACGCGCCCCGTTCCCCGCGGCAAGACTGTGAAGGGAGCCAATGAAAGACAGGGGGAGCCAGGGTGGGCAAGCAGAGGCCGTCTTGTCCATCCTCCTGCCTCCAGGCAAAATCCTTCCCCTGCACCAAAATTCTGCACTGCAGCCCAGCTGACGAACAGGCCCGCCACATGTAAATGACAAGTCATAATCCAGTCCTGCAGCTACAGCAGATGGTCTCCTCAGCACGTACTTACTATGTTTTAAAGATGCTGAGTACGAAAGCTCGTCTGAATTGTTTTAATCCCCCTTTTCTGGAAAATTATTTTATGTGCGAAATGGACTCGAATCATTGTAAGGATGTGGGGAGCCTGTGTCTGGGGAATGAAGTTATCTTTATCATCTTATTAAATGTATTTTTGGTTTCCTTTCACTCTAGGTCTACCTTACGGCTGGGAGGAAGCTTACACAGCAGATGGAATCAAGTACTTCATCAAGTAAGTACGAGCGTCTCAACCAAGTAAGCAATTTTTTCACATCTGGAGAGAACCTGGAAGTTGCAGAATAATCAGCAAAACCAAGAAAGCCTCTTGGAGGTTACAGAAATTAGAAGCAAGAAATGAAGGCTCACCATTTTTATTTCATGTGATTTAAATGCTAATATCAGATACCATTTGGGGAAAGGAAAAAAAAAGCCACCCTAGTAATAATTTCCAGGGGAACATCAAAGACCTGGAGCAGGATCATCGTTTGAACTTAAGTAGTGACTGCCTGGATTTACTGTGGCTTAAAGTCTTATTATTTATGAAAAGTTAATCTAATGAAAACGCCACTTAAAACTTCTTAATACTGCTAATAATGAGCATTTTTAATGCTTTGCAATGTACACACTTCATTTATCTGCAGATACATTCTAAGCATTTGCCGTGTGCCAGGCAGTGTTCCATGCCTTGCAGATTTGTAGTGAAATATACAGACGAGTTCCCTGAAATCATGGCATTTACATAATAGTGAGGAAGGACAGGAAGGAAGTACCTGAAGAGGTAAAGGAGACAGTATATGAACAAACCTTACCTTAGTGGATTCTCAGAATGCCCTTTTAGGTATGTGTACCTTGTTTCCCCTGTTTGATAGATGAAGACAGTAAGAGCCTAGAGTAGTTGCTAAAAAATGCACAGCCACACCTGGCCGGTGTGGTTCAGTGGTTGATGTCGACCCATGCACCAAGAGGTCACCAGTTTGATTCCTGGTCAGGGCCCAGGCCCAGGTTGTGGGCCCAGTCCCCAGTGGGGGGCATGCAGGAGGCGGCCAACCGATGCTCTCTCTCATCGATGTTTCTATCTTTCTTTCCCTCTTCCTTCCTCTCTCTCTAAAATCAATAAAGAAAAAAAATTTTTTTTTTAATTCAAAGCCACTAAATTGCCAACCCAGAACAGAATCATCAGGATTCTCTCCACTGTACTAAAGTGTCGCCGACAAAGACCTACCTCTGAAAGGAATACCTTTTCTAGCTGCCGACCTGGTTAGTTTCACCCTGGACAAAGCAGTCTAGACTTCCACAGTGTTCGGGCTATTTCTTTTCATGTCAGAGCTGGGTTATAAGGGCAAAAAGGGGACTCCTGACAGAATCCTAAGATCCTGAGACTCCCTTAGATGTCCTTTGTAACTAATGGTACTTGCTACACATTTTGGGAGGAACAGGGAGATGCGTTCTTGCTCTCTTTTCAAATGTGCGACTGTTTTCCAAAATAATATCCAGATTTTGGATTCTCAAACCCTGTGACTTCACAGGGGTTCCCACATCTCTCTTCACCTCTGTTTTCTGATCATAAAATGGGGGAACTATTACTTACTTTATAAAGTTGTTCAGTGTTTAGCACCTGGCATAGAACTTGGAACACAGTGGGTGCCCATTAATTACTCATAAATTTACAATATGGAGAAATTGTCTTGGGGGGGGGAGCATGAAAAACCATGTGACCATTAACAACACTGAGAATTCAAAAGCTTCACATTTTTAAAGATTTAAGGAAAAACTAGGGGTAAACCTGTCAGAGTATTGTCATGATATATTTTTTCTTGTGGTCTCCAAGAAACAGTAATGAATATAGCAAAGGTGTCATTGGTAGCCTGCGAAGGAGAAGGTGACTTTTAGAGCAGAGGACCCAGGAATTCCATGCAGATTACATGTAGCCCCTTACTGTTCACTTCCAGAGTCATAGTTCTGGGAGGGAACTTGCACTCTGACGTGCTGTTAACCACGTTTCGTTCCTGGAAGGTGGAATCACTGTGCGGCCGGGGTTGCAGGAAAATGAACAACCATATTCACATGTGCACTGGGTTCCTTCCTTCTTCTAACTCACAATGAATAAGGGAAAAGATACGGGGGTGGGAAGGAAATAAGCATTTATTGAGCATCACCTGGTGCTGAATAGTCATATGTCAGGTGTATTTTTCTATACCTCGTATCGTTAAATCCTCTCAAAGTGGAAAGTGGGTGTCTCTCAGCTCTTACTAGGATGGTATTCTGATGGTGTGAGCTGCATCCTGCCCTCAGCCCCCAAGGGTCCCCTGATCAAAAAATGCCTCATCAAAGAAAGGCAAACTAGTGCCCATCATTAACTGGGGTCCTGAATCCAAAGGCATTTGAAAAGCGTCAATAAATGAGTCTGGATCCTGGGGGGAACTCTTACCCACGCTTAGCCTGAGCCCTCTGTCAGTGTATTCTACCAAAAGGTGAGTGTCAGAGCTAGCTAGTGTCATACGAGGAAAGGATACTAAAGGCACAGTCACTGACTACCAAGGAAAAGGAGGGAGCAAGAGATGGCCAGCCCGAGAGCGGGTGTGTCCCATCGCCGGTACCCAGCCGGCTTAGGCTGCTGACCTTTGCAGACTGGATCCGTGGCTTTGGGCTGAGCTCCTACCACAAGGGAGAATAGCATCCAAGCAGGGACGAGGAGAGAAGGAACAAGCCCTTTGACTGCCCTGAGATCTAAATCACAGGAAGGAGTAGACAGAGACACTACATTTATATAGTGCCCTCCAGTCTAGAGAATGTATCCCTGACTGTGTGTTTTGGAAGGCCATCATTTGTTTTCTTTGACCTTAATATTGACTCATAAGGAAAGCAGAGAGTTGTTGCCCAAAGAACAACAGTGGGTATGATCTCACGGTTACAGCTGAAGAAACGGCGTGGAAAAGAGGCTAAACCCGTTGAGGCCACACAGTAGTAAAATCACACAGACCCAGGGTTGTCGGGCTCCAGAGCCACCTCCTCCCGCCCCACACACGTGCACACACGTGCACACACACGCACACGCACACACATGCTGCACCACCGCCATCTCCTTATTTTAACATAGTATTTTTACTTGGGACAGAAAAGACATTTTCAACAGATCTTCACTTAGGAAGATCTCGATACATTATCCATTTTAAAACAGCAGATCAGAAACTTAGTTCTAAGAAGAAGTAGTTATCTCCTGGAGATCAGAAAGGGCAAATGGTAAAGATAAGGAAATCTAGCACTATACCAGAGCTTCCTCCACCCAGCCTCAGGGAGGAACAGGGCGCTTCCCATGAGTTGGGTTTGTTTGGGCTTGTTTTTTGCTAGAAGTTAACCCTATTCAAGCACCTACCCTTATTTTAGCTTAACTATTCTTGATGAAAGTCTTACCTAATAAGTGTTACATGCGTCCTTACCTCCATACACCGATGCTGCTGAACAAAAACACATGGCCACAATTACCCGTCTTACACATAACACTGGGTTCTGCAGGAGGATACTCAGCTGTGTGAGCTAGAATACAGACGCAGCTGTCATCTCTCTGCCCCTCCCCCCGCCTGTCCGTCCCTCATCCCCCGTCTTCTTTTTTGTCCTCTACACACTGTCCCCTCTTCCCCAGGAGCGTCTTCTTGGAAGAGGACAGGATGCGACGAATTGCTTGTCAATAGCCCTTGAGTGTGTGTCTGCGCGGTTTGCGTGAGTCGGGTACGTAAACTCTGGTGCAGGCGGATTGGATCAGGAAGGTCAGAGGGTGGAGGGGAAGGAAGAACACGGGCCTAGGAGTTTGGGAAACTGGGTTCCAACGCTGGCGTCTCCACAGAATAGTCGAATGACCGTAGACACATGTGCTCAACCTCTCTGAGCTCTGATTCCCACATTCATAGAACGGAAAGAACGTTAGTGCCTCCTGGGCTGGGGTTCTTGTCCAGGATGAATGAGCTCATGTGAGAAGAGCCCATGACAGCACTTGACCCAAAGTAGACGCTTACGTGAGCCCTCGCCACGCCCTCACCTCCCCGCAGCATTTCCGTGGGGACTGTTCCTTGGCTCTTAGCTGCGTTCAGATCGGTGATGTCGCCAGAGAAATAATATCTACGTAAGCAAACATCCACTCTGTGCCTTTTCTGGAACTTTGTTTTGTTTTTCAGCTTTTTGCTTTGTTTTTTTTTCATCTTCATCCTCCCACTACCCCAAGCAACATTTGAGCCTGGATAGCCTGTGTTAGCGTTTGAGGTAGGAGGGGTTCATTTACCAGGTAAATTTACTTTGGAGGGAAGAAATAAAAAGTAATGAACTCAGGTTACTGTCTCTCTCACCTTTACTTAAAAAGAGCAGTGACTGAAATCACCCTTCCAGAACACTGGAGGTGAAGGTGTGTATACATACATACACTCTTTCCCCTGAGATTGACACCTGTCACTGTCTTCCAGAAATTGAGTTGTTACATCTGATAGAAGCCAAGCCTCAGGCAAAGGAAAACCTGTCAGGGCCGTCCCAAGAATGCCCAGACGAATTTAGTCCTCATTGAATATTCCTGGCTACCCACATGCTCACTGCACAGCTAGGAATACTCTGTAGTCATCTACTTAAGTTCTGACGCAGGAGAAGAAAGCATTTTACCTGGCGTGAACAGATTTATTCAAAGTGTTGGTGTTATGCAAAGAGCCAAGGTCCCAGAAAACCTCAGCGTGTTGTTTGTCGATTCCAAAGAGAGAACCTGGGGGACTGTCTGGGAGAGACATGGGTTACCAGGACTTACGTGCACACCAGGGGCAGCCAGCCGGCGACAATTTCCATCCTCCCTCTGCCAGGGGCGGCCGGCCGGCCAAGTCCCCGCCACCCGCACTTCCCCAGCACAGTGTTACCCAGTGCACAGGACACCAAGCGCACAGGGGTGCCGGTGCTGTGTGAACTCAGCGCCAGCTGGTTCTCTGTAGGCGTGTAAGTCCGGCTCCCATCGGGAACCCCCCCCCCTCCGGCCGAGGTGCTGGTCTGCTCCCAAGGTCTCACAGTCCTGACAGATGGCCTTCGTCATGTCCCCCAGGGAAGGGGCCCATGTTCTCACACACCACACAGCTGGCGTTGCCGGAGTGTTTCACAGAACTGAAAACATGCATGCCTCTCTGTGTACATGCGTATATACCCACATGTGTGTGCTCATGTGCATATAGGCAGGGCTTGCTCACTTGATGGAGATATGGGAGCATTCAA